AAATCTCTAAAGTCTCAAAAGTCTCTTAAGGCACGTCACGACATTTCTCAATACTCCATTCATTCCTGAAGCTCTTTTCCATCTCCTTACAATTTTTCAAAATCTTTTCCTGAAGTACAAACACTGAAGTATTCAAGTAATGGTCTGCTTTTAATATCATTGAAATCAAAGTCAGAGCAATATCCATTCTTACTCAAAAAAATACCATATGAGAGCAGACAAAACATCAAATGATGAATTAAAAAAAAAGAAAAATAATGATCAATGGACTTGATACTCTTTATACATGACAGGAATTTATAAATAAAATGCAGAAAGTTCTTCATCTATGTGTGTAAGGATAAACTGGGACTCCTGAGAACAGACAGCTTCACACCCCAGGTCTCTCCATGACTCCCTGTATGCACTTTGCAAAGGGTGGTTTTGAGATGTGTGGAATGTACAGTTCCCATGACGTAGAATAATAAAATTACTACTAACTGGTAGCTAGTCACATGGTAAAAAGTGGTTTCAACTCTTTCTATAAATAGTCAGACTCTCATAAACTGTTACTCGGGGATATGTTGACAACTGTTGGTTTATTTCTGAACATTTGTATTTACAAGTCCAAAATTAATATTCACATTCAAGGTTGGTGTGGCCAAACTTATACCAGAAAGAGTTAAGGAGAACAGATTCTGTATAATCAGAAAGCTGAAAGTCATTCGTGTGGAGATGGCAAATGTTGAAAGCATCAGGTGAAGAAACAGGACAGTTATGCAATCATTTTCAAAGTTATATTTACTGAATAACTTGAGCCTGATTCACCATTACCTTATGCACTACATAATTGCTCATGTTTCCAGGTTCACATCTCTTATCACCATGAGAAAGTAAATAATAGCTTCAAACGAGATCTGAAATTAAGTTCAGTGTTGGAAAACATTCAAGTTCTTTTCAGCCTCATCTAAACATTTCACTCTCATCATAATAACTTTTCAACCTGTTCACAGAAGTCTGCAAATATTTAAGTCAAAATCAAATCTGGAACACTTACGCTTTTGAAAGTGTTTTCTCCATTAAAAAAAAAAAAAAGCCTGAAACTGGTGTAAGATCACTGCTTTGAAACAAGGTGAAGGTCAATGGAGCACTGTTAGCACAAGAGTCAAAACCTGTTGAAAAGGAAGGGGAAGAAAAGATCAAGCAAAACATTGGACTCAAGTTTCAGCCGGCTTTGCTGTAGCCAATTCCTGCTCTCAGGTTGCCGTTTTGAAGTGAAGAACAACTACTATCTTTTCATTAGGCGCTTATCACTGGTATTCCAACTCTTCTGGATGTTGCAGTGATCCTGCTGGCTCTGTAGGAGATCTCTGCGATGTCCTAGTCCCAGCCAGCACCACACTGGAAAGCCAAGTGACCCATCAAATCTTTAACTTCCACACCATCATTACCTTGGCACTTCTAGGTGGGCCCACGCTCCTCGCAGTTCACTGTGCAAAGGAAGTAAAACCCCAGTCATAGGGCACCCCAGAAGGTGCTTGTGCCCTTCTTCCCTCTCCAAAGGGAGAAGAGATTTCTGCTAGCCCCTTCTTGAGGGTTGGCCATCACATTCAAGAAGTGCTGGTCTTTTTTCTGCTTTGTTGCCTGGATATTTGGGGACTGTAAAATGTTCCAGATCACACATCAGACTGGGTATTTTTTCAAACCATATGCAAAGGGAGCACATAGTTTGACTTCCTTCCTAGGCTTCTTCGTTCCTCTGACTGCTGGACAAGTCATGCCAGCAGAAGAGCATATTACCCATGTAATATGGTCAGGATAGCTGTCTGGCAGAGTCATGAAATCTCTGTCTCCAGCAAAGCCCTCCTCCAGCCAGGCTGCCCTCACAAGCACATGGTCTTAAATATCCCTCCCAGCCACAAGACCCTGCTTACGCCCCGGTTGCACAATGCCAGCTCTTCTGAGAGCCAGGTCCCTCCCTGCAGGAGGGGCAGCTGGGCCCACCAACTTCTCAGTTTGGAAAGCATGGGTACCTTTGCCCTCCTTGAGAGGCAAGGGCTTGATCTCAGCCCCCAGCATCCACCAAACCCTCTGCAGGGCAGCTCCTGATGGTTCAAAACCCATGGAGCCCACACTGCCTTCGCCCGCCAGAGACCTAGAAACAGAGGTTGCGTTCCTGCAACCTGCCTGATAGCCCCAAGGGGGTTGCTACAGCTTTCCCAGACCATGTCACTGCACAAGCCCGTGGAATTTAAAAGCAAACTCTGCCAGCTGGAGTAGGGTATTTAAGGAACCAGCTACAAAGAAGAGAGAAGACAGCACCAAGGATTTACAGGTAAAATGGATATTTTGATTTAAAGGTGTGAATATAGAGGCAGGGTGAAGTGGAGAGAGATGACCAAAGGGTTAAAGGACGATGGAAGCATGGAACTAATTAAACTTATCTGGGATGCATCTAATACTCACATTAAATCCACATACTCTTTCAATATGGAGATACCTCCCTGAATTATAAAGGATAAGGGAAGGAGGACTCACATCTTCGTCCCTAAATATATCATTTGCATCTCTTAAATCTGAGCCAGTGGAAGAGTCAAACACTGTGAGACAAATCCTATTTAATTTATTCAGCAACACATCTGTGTGAAATATAGTCCAATTACAGGCATTAGGTTACTTTGCCATGGCTGCAGCCATTTGGCTTTTATTTCCAGCAGGCTCTAATTAAATTATCACAATGCAGGAGCAGACAAGTTTCCCTTATACGTGACTGCAATTAAAGACGTGCAATCACAACATTTTTTAAAGTGACTCCAATCAATTGGTTACAGTAAAAAATACCATGTAATAGAGCAGTGACTCTAGACAGTGACTAGGCTGTTAAGACTGAAAGAGGGTTTCTATTTCAATAATCTAGTTCCCTTTTATTACGAGTTCTGCTCTTGGATAATTTATTTAAAGTTCATTATGTGTCTACAGCATATATCATTTGCCCTCAGCTTGGGCTGCAGAAGTCCCATTATGGCCAATTACTTAGTGTGATAAAATCTGCCACAGTACAAACTGTTCTTTAATTAGATTTAAGTTTTGTCTAAATTCTATTTGTAATTCAGAAGTAAAATAGTAAGGCCAACAGCAAAGACTTGCTGTCTCCTTTCTTTGGTCCTTGTGGTAACCTGTTAGAGTGGATGTAAACTTAGGGGAGTTCAGAACTGAGATCCCCACACTCATGTGCTTTTCTTGCAATACTTGTCCCCACCTCAGGTTTCCTTAACCAGCGCTTGGCTTGGGGGTGGCCTGGCCTGTGAGGGAGTCCCATGTTCCCCAACCCAAATACAGCCCTATCAGATATCTCACCGATAGCAAAGGGGATGGCTCCGAAAGCACCTGAGAGCGTGTGGCCGTCGGTAGGGACTGCAGTGGCTGAATGCCGCTGCCGCGCTCCTCGGTAATCGGAGGTATTTGCTCCCCAACACCCATAGGTTTGCTGCCGCAGCATGCTGGTTGGTGGAGAAAAAGCTGCAGTCAAAATGATAGTCCTACAAAACCACGAAGAAAGTGGTGCAGGGAGCAGCACCCAGCCGTGCCCTTCAGCTTGCGTAGTAGCTGTGCACTGTAAGCACCGCGGCATGTACAGCCCCGGTGCGGGACAACTGTACTGCTGCATTCCTTCTCAACTGAATTAGAGCCGCTGGATTTTTCTAAACCATCCCCTGTGCCATCCCCAGCCATGAGAAGAGGTTTGAAGCTGTTTTGCCCTTTAAAAGCCAAACACCAGTGTTTGGCATGCATCTTTTCAAGCTTCAGCTTCAGTTTCCAAAGTGTTATAAATATGTTTGAACCAAATATTCTACACAGATTTGAATTCAAATCCTGCAACCAGTCTCTGAGATCTCACAAGTGAGTGAGGGTAGAAGCTACATAAAGAAAATTCAGTGTGAAACAAGAAATCGAAGTGATGATTCAGTAGGATCCATTTTAACAGATCCAGGCCACAGTAATTTGAGGACAGGCGTCATCCCTATCTTACAGAAGTTGCATTCCTCCAGAAAAAAACACGCTAGGGATTTACTCATTTTTTCCATCAAAACATTTATTCCACTTTAAAAGAAAGAAGGCATTCACACAAATGCACTTATTGGATGCAACGTTAGCTGTTATTTGGCTTGTGCTTCAGTAGCCCTGTATTTTCTGTTGTAGAGACTATGTACCAGGCTATCTTTACTTCCCTTGAATCCTGCTCAAGTCCCATATTATATCTTGCAAATGGCTGCTTTGCAAAGTTGGATTCATTTATTCTGATATCCAGAAAACTACTATCTATGACTACTGCCTGAGCAAAACACCATTTAAAATTTTTACAGGGATAGAAGTTTACAGCTAATGACAAGCCTAAAAATAACCTATTTCTTCGCAACTTCAATCTTGTTGATGGGCTAGAAGAATGAAATATCAGTTGTTTCCAAGGAGCAGGGGGAAAAATGGTAATGAACTCCAGCATCAAAAAGAATATGAAAACATTGCAACATCTGCCCTGTTTTCCAATTAATTAACAAGGATGCAAATAGCATTTATGGAGCAGTTAGGTACTGGACATTCCTCCCTATACTTTTGGTCAGTAGTGTGCCACAGCTAGTCTGTCCTTCTGCTCCACTTGACCCCTGATGAGAGAAGGTGGTGAACTTTATATACCAGGGGACACACATCACAGACTGTGAGGCTGGGAATGCCTGATATTACAACTTCATTGTGCCTGTGCAGACTCTTCCCTGAAAACATGTACTTTAAAATAAAATTTTATCTATCTCTATATAGATATGATAAAAGGCCTCTAGATCAGGATCAGTTCTCCCCAAAGCAGCAAGACCTTTCCTTATTCAGTAAAGACTTTAATAGTGGCACTGATGGGAAGTTGAAAAGAAAGACTTGGTTATTAGTTGTTTTTGATGAGCTAGGAGAAGGTCTTATCCATCAGTGAACTCTAAGCATTCCTGTCTTCCTCTAAGCACTAAGGAAAAATCATGAACACAAAAAATGATGACTTAGTCAACCCCACCACCTGGCAAGACACTGAAGGTGATATTCCTGCCTGCACTGGCATGGAAGTCGGTCTGAAGACTTTGTACTTCCCCATTATGTACAGCATCATCTTCTTGGTGGGCTTCCTGGGAAACACCATTGCGATTTGTGTTTACAGCTTCAAGATGAGGCCTTGGAAGAGCAGCACCATCATTGTGCTCAAGCTGGTGCTCACAGACCTGCTGTATCTCACCAGCCTTCTCTTCCTGATACACTACTATGCCAGTGGGGAGCACTGGATCTTTGGCAAATTCATGTGCAAGATCATCTGCTTCAGCTTCCACTTCAACCTGTACAGCAGCATCCTTTTCCTCACCTGCTTCATTGCCTTCCTCTTCATGGTGATTGTCCACCCTGTGAAGTTCTTCCACAACCAGAGGAAGTGGTGGCTTGTGCAGCCATTTGGATGATCTCACTGGCAGCTGCCAGCCCTGTCAACTTCTTGATCTCCTCAGAAGAGACACAAAACAGATCCTTACTCCCTGACCCTACCAGCTCTGAAAACATGGGCACGATCAGGTGGTATAACTGGCTGCTGACCGGCCTGGCCACCGCCTTGCCATTGCTGACAGTGACTCTGTGCTACACGCTCATTATTTACACCTTGGATTCTGGGCCCCATGCACGAGCTTGCTGCAGACAAAAGGTTTGCAGCCTCGCTGCCGTCCTCTGGGTGGTCTTCTATGTGTGTTTCCTCCCTTTCCACGTCTTTTGGGTGGCTCAGGCTGAACTACGGTTGTGTCCAGTCAGCTGTCACGTGGAGAAGCAAATCCACTCTGCCTATATCACCTCTTGGCCACTGGCTGAACTCAACACATGTGGCAACCGACCACTTTATGTCGTGATTGGAGGTAACTTCCAGCAGGCCATCCTCTCTCTTTCAAGGTGTAAGTGGAGCAAATACATCCAGTAGCCCAGGAGCAACAATTACGTGACCAATGCAAGAAACTGCATTAAAGTTATGAAAGAATCCCAGCAAACCTGGGCTGGCTTTGGTGCACTAAGCTCCTGCAAAGGCAGGTGTGTTGATACGGTAGCAAGAATTGCAGCTACCTTCTCCCTCTCCCTGCAGTAGAGCACTTGTCAAGAAGTTGTCTTGGGAGCAGGTTTGTATATACCTCTCCTAGCAGCCAAGGAATGGGAAGTGAAAAGAAATGATTGTCAGCCACCTCAAAGGTGGAATTTAAAACCACCCAACCGGACTGTTTCCAAAGACATTTGAAAAGCACAGGGTTCTCTTGCTCTGGGCTTTGAGGTTGATTACAGAAACATGGAGAGCTTAGTTTGGACGTGAGAACCACTTCCGTTGATTTCAGCGTTGTCACTGATGTAGTGCTTAGTTTGTTACAGCCTGAGCAAAATGCAGCAGATATTGTCACGGTTGCTGAAACCGCTGAATTACATTCTTAGAAAGCACCTAGATAAATCCGATGCTTTCAGATGAGATGGACCTGATAATCTTCAGTGTAGAGCACTGAGGAACTGAATGGTGAAATCTCAGAGCTGGCTGGTGAATTGAAGGAGATATATTACATATAAAAGGATATTTATATATGTGTGTGTGTGTGTGTGTGTGTGTATAAGAGAAATATATATATATATGTATGGAAAAAATGGAGGAACAAGGAATTAACAGTCACATTAATGTCCATCTCAGAAAAATACTGAAATAAACAATCAGATCATGAGTCTACAGAAGATGAATACAGGTGAGTACCAGCCAGTATGGATCTATCAGCTATGTACAATCCCAGATTGTTCTGTTTTCCTACTACAACAAATTAACAGGCTCGTACATGAAGGAAAAGAAGGTGTCACATACCTTGACTGCAGAAGGAGTTTTGTCTGAAGTGGCACTCTTGTGTGTAAGCTAAGGAAACAGTCTTGAGGAAACTATTTTTGCTGGTTACAGAGCTGTGCTCAGAGTGGAGATATTGGTGAATTCCTGTCGGAGTAGGGGGAGCCACCAAGTGGGGATTTGACCAGTCTGTCCTCGCTTTAGGGATATTTAGTCTTGTCATTAATAAATTGGATGATGAAATAAAGTCTGGTTGTTATATTTGCAGATGACATGAAGCTGAGAGGACAAAATTAAGTTGACAAATTGCAACTATGGTCGGAAAACCACGCAGGATGCTATTAGACAGTGACAGGTGCAAAGTACTATGTTCAAGTAGAAATAATGAACTGTGCAAACACAAAAGGAGAAAAAAAAATATTTAGGCAGCAGTTCAGCAGAGGAAGATCTGTGGTTACTGTGAATCACAGGCTGGACAGGAGCCGACAGTTTCAGTGGGCTGACAGTGTCTGCTGTGGCAAAAAGGGCAGATGCCGTGCTGGGACGTATGAATAAGAATATGTAATGTGCGAGATTTGTATAGCAGTCCTTACACCCTTCGCAGCCTTGTTACCCTCTCAGCTGGAGCGCCATGCTGCCCTTCAGGGAAGACGTAGATGAGAGGAGCATGGCAAGAGCACTCAGAGAAATGACCAAAGGGGAAGGAACTGGACAGAAAACCAAATGGTCTTAAGACCACTCAAGGGTGAATATCAGGCCGGACCATCTCTCAGGACGGGTGATGAAGCACTGGAAAGGACAGGAGGATTCTCCACCACAGGGTGTCCCTAGGAGCAGGCTAGCCAGGTGCTTAGCAAGAGGGACACAAGCCTGCCTGACCTCTGGGGGTCCCTTCTGGCCACGAGGCTCTGCAATTAGGCAATGCATTCCCAGCAGCATCAGTGCCAGTGAGACAAATGGTGTCCAGGAGCATCCCCAGTGCCAGAGCTCATCCTGCCACACTGCCACGTCTCTGGGGAGCCTTGGGGAGGGGGGCTGGCCAGCAGCAGCCAGCACACTGTCGGCAAAGCCCTGGTAACCCACCACGGGTTAGCACCATGCCCCACGGGCAGCCTGCACACAGGCAGTGCTTCCCGGGTACCACGCCTCCATAGGACAAACAATCATAGAATCATAGAATGGTTTGGGTTGGAAGGGACCGCTAGAGGTCATCTAGTCCAACCCCGCTGCAGTGAGCAGGGACACCGCTAACTAGATCAGGTTGCTCAGAGCTCCATCCAACCTGGTCTTGAATGTTTCCAGGGATGACACCGTAGTGTTTTAACGTGCCTTGTGGATACCTAAAATACTGTATTTGGTAAAGGCTCAGACATCAGATACAACTTTTCAAAGCAGTGCCATTGGCCTTTTGACCTGTTTTCTCTTTTAGATTGTCCTCTTCTGTATTGTTGTCCAAGCCTGAATTTTACGGATTACCAGTAGATAGAGGTCATTCATGGTCAAGCTACCTGGTTTCACATACACGTGTTTGATTCAAATCCACAAGTTACACAAATAGACAAGACAATTCACGTGAAACAAATATCTTCTGACCTAGATTCATAACAGCTCAGCTCTCCAACATGGGCAAAAAGTACAAACAAACTGCACAAAATTCTCTTCCTCTTCCACATAAGAGAAAGCAGAAGATGTGTCTACCACTTACATATACACATCTGAAGGTGTGGATTAAAAATTATCTCTTTTCCTTTCTCAGAGCATTTTTAATTCTTGTTCTCAGAAGCTCTTCCTTCTCAAGCCCAAGCTGAGCTTATCACACATGAACAGAAGCTCTTAAAATACAGCTACACATACAACATAAAATGGAGCAGCTGAAGGTAAAAAGTGTGAAATGGAAGCGTTCAAGGCTTTCCATCTCTGACAGCAAGAGTGACAGTCCCACAGTTCTGGTGACTTGGAGAGGGGCTACCTTTTTGCCTACTCCTCTATTTTCCTTGACATAGCTGTTGTTTTGTTGCCTTCCTTTTCTCTCACCTGCTCATCCACCACCTCTCTCTGTTTAGTTTGTTCTAAACTGGCTGATTTTAAAGTGCCAAAGCAGATTAGAGAATGCTCCTGGGAGCCATAGTTTGCTGGTGGGGCAAGACCCTCCAAGAGACGGGCGGTCGCGTCTCCCAGTAGCATGGTTGGATCTGAAAAAGGAAAAAAGCTCAACCATGACGCAAGCATTTTTAAAGCATTCAAGGACTGCTCAGGTGCTCTGCAGGACTTCGAGATCATTATCTCATGCGACTCATTCCTTTTGCTTACTGTGAAGGGTGACATTTCAATAGCTTCTATTTTTAGCAGCTGTTAAGTTTACTGCTGAAACAAGGATAAGTGCTTCAGTTGCAGTAAACAGGAGACACTTTCCAAGCTCTGTACATACAGTGTGACAACACAGTGACATAAATTACTACACTATTGCAGGCTAATTCACAGCATAGTTATGCTCCAGTAACCAGGCTTCTGTCAGAAGTCTCTAGTAGGTTTGTTTGCAAAGACAGTCATGTCAACTCAAGTACCTACCGGCAAGCTGCGCTCTGCCTGGGGACCGCAGAGGGACTGAGAGAATGACTTTGCAAGGTAAAGAGGCTTCGCACCTCTCAGGGGAATGTCAACTCTGATGATACTACAGATAAAATTTTGGAATTGCTGACATGCCGAAGCTTATTCTTCACAGTGACTCACGTACTGTCACAGATTGCAGCAGAGCTATTTTCTACCCTTAATTGTCAGGAAAGGCAATCGGCATTTTTTTTCCTTTTCTCCTCAAATCATGTGTTCCCATAAGAAGTGAAAGCAAAAGGCCCTCCTCGTACTCAAACCTCCCAGAGAGCAAAAATACTCACTGTAATGTTCTGCATAAAAAAAAAAGAATCACAAAACCTGTCTGCATCTAGCTGCCTTTCAAGCAATTCTGTGTCATACTGAACACCTGAGAAGGGAGAGCAAAGCAGACTGCATGTAGCATCAAAATTGATAGCTTGGTAAACAGCTAGTAGAGACAAAGGCTAAAATAGCTTGAGAACAGGGCCTGTGTTGGATATTGATGTGAGACAGGGCTGTGGTTCTATCCCAGTGTAATGGTATGCGCCGTCAGGATGCTGCTGCATTAGCTGCATGGTGTAACTGCATGGTGGTGACCCTCCATGTGAAGCAGAGGGCAGTGCCAGCCTCACCGCTGAGTCATTCAGACCTCAGATAGATGTCATTTTGCTGATAAGGCTAAGCGAGCAGAATAAACGTTGAATGAATGCTTCCATCTGTCAATACGTTGTACTCTGAGAACGCCGGTTTGAGTGAACCTAAACTTTAAAGCAGCAGTGTCGCGGATGGAGTGAGAGGGAGGCAAAACCAATGTGGTTTATTGGTGTAAAACAGTGAGTTAACAAAGGTCAGTGGTAACTGCGACAATAGTTTATGAGATTCGATGGCAAGGTACACTTTGTTATTTACTGCACAGAGGACAGGGTCAGACAAAGCTGTCAGGGAGACCCTCCCGTTGAGTCATGAGGTTCAGAAAAGATCCCCTTGCTTTCTAAACTCCCTTAGAGAGGAGTCTAGGTGCGGCTGGATCCAATCCTAGTCCCAGACTTGCTCAACGGTTTATGTCTAAAGGATTATATATGCGCAATTAATCCTTTATGTCACTTAGCTAAGATTTCCAAGTTAGCATGCTGTTAGTCACTTACCGAGAATCTGTCGTGGTAAGGAATCTCTCAACCTCGAGGAGTAACCTTGAGAGGCGTCCCTGCTCAAGGGGAGATCCTGGCGTGCAGCCCGCTGCCGTGCAGGAGAGCTCCAAGGGTTCTTGGGCTGCTCACTGTTTATGGGGGTAAGATAATTGGCTCATAGTCACATTTGCATACTGACCACTGTGCTTAGGTGGGCACATTCCACAATAGCCCTTGGCTATTGCATTGTTATCTGTCTCCCCCACATCCAGTGGGTGCATCCTTCAGGACCAGACACAGACCAGATGCATCCACAGCCACAGGTGGTTATCACTGGAAAGAGGTCAAAGGAGGGGGAGTCAGAGACGAGGGGGGAGCACACCGCCAGAAGCAGCAGCA